ACAGCATTAATGAAGAATGTAGGTCTCCTATTCCAGCCAGGACTCAGAGCAGAACAGTGGCATAGCTTGCATATTTATTTAGGCCTTGGTATCTCAGCAATGAAAAAGTTTGTGGAATAAATGAGCAAAAGATGGAGAACTTTTCTGCTCTGTGTTTATAGGTTTTGGCTGTTCCCAAACCATCCATCTTGAGCTCTCACCACAAAGCAGGCAAGCAGCCCTTTGACACGTGCATCTTGAAAGTTTTACACTATTTATTTTTTCCTCTGGGAAACAATCTAGGTCTCTGCCACTGAGGCTGTCAGGCAGTAACAGAGTGCCTGAGCTCATTCAATTGTTTATGAGGCTTTCTCTGAAATCCTTAGCCCTTTCCTACGGATGGGAGAAGCAGTGAAAAATCTCTTAGCAACAACTGAGCAGGCTCATCTGTCCTCCCTGTCCCGATGCTGCTCCCTATTTAGTATTTATCACTAAACAGGGATAGTGATAAATGGCTTGACTGGTCTCTTTCTACCTGCAGTTGGAGCATTACACTCAGCTCAAGAAAGGAACTTTGAGAGGAGAACAACCCATATGATGAAGAACTTTAAATAATGCCTTACAAGGAAAGACAGAGGGAACTTGGAAGGCATAACCTAGAGGTGGACACTACCCCTTCCCTTCAAATATCCAAAGAGCTGTTAGGTAGAAGCACCTTGAACATGGTTCCTGTGGCCCTTAAGGGAAGTCCTGTGATGTTCAGGATTTGCTAGGGTTCCCTTCTCTACCAGGCATCTATCTAATGCTAGCAGAGCCTCTTTTCTCTTTTTCCTCTCTCTCTAGGCAATCTCATTTCTTCTCATGGCTTTAAATATCATCTTTAAGCTGATGACTCTCAAGTGTATATGCCTACCCAGATCACTTTTCTAAAATGAGAACTTGGATATTCAGCTGCCTACTCACATCTCCACTTGCTGTCTCCCTGACATCTCCAACTTCATATGTGTAAAAGTGAACCCTTGATCTGGACCCCCTAACCCAAATCTTATCCTCCTACCACTTTCCCCATCTCAGTAAATGGCACCAGCCTCCAACCAGTTGTCAAGTCAGGAATCTGGGTGTCATTTCTGGCATTTTCTTCTCATTCACACCTCACATCCAATCCATCACCAAGTTCTGTTTATTCCACCTCCAAAATATTCATTGAGCTCCTCTATTCCTCTCCACCTTCATATCCACCATCCTCATTGAAGCTCCCATCATCTCTCATGAGGACTATTACAAATGCCTTCTAACTACTCTTCCTGCTTCCATGTTACCTGCCATCCTCCCACCCAACACCCAGAGCAACACCTGAAAATTCAACATCCGACCATGTCATTCCCCTGCTTAAAACCCTTCAATGGGCTGGGCATGGTGGCTCGCATCTATAATGCCATCCCCTTGGAAGGCCAAGATGGAAGGATCATTTGAGACCAGGTGTTCAAGACCAGCCTGGGCAACATACTGAGATGTCTCTACAAAAAAATTTAAAAACAAAAATTCCTTCAATTGTGTCTGTTGTAGTTAGATAAAGTCCAGGCTCCTTCTGAGATGCACAGGGTCCTGCATGATCTCTCTCCCCCCATCTGGTACCACCCTTCCACCACTCTACCCTGGAGCCACACTGGCCTTTTCATCTCTTCAAATGTATCGAGCTCCTTCCTCACACCTGTGCCTTGACTTACTGTCCCCCAGCGCCCCCTCCCCTCTGTCTGTTAGTTCTCATCTCACATGCTACCTTTCCAAAGAAGCCATCAATTTTAGTTATCTTTTGCTGCAAAACAAACGATCTCAAAACTTAGTGGTTTAAAACAACAACCATCTTATTTCTTGTAATTCTGTGAGTTGCCCGGGGCTTAGCGAGATTGTTCTTTTGCCAGTCTTGGCTGTCAAGTGTTCACAGTGAAATGGCAGCTGGGTCAGAAATATCAGAGATGGCTTCACTCACACGTCTGCCATCATGACAGGAACATCTCACCTGGGACACTGGGGTGGCTGGGTCTCCCTATGTCACCACAGGGCTCACTTTCCCAGTGGCTTCTTTGTATGGTCTCTCCAGCAGTATGGTCCCACACTGATTTGGGGCTAGAATTAGCCCATTAAAAGTTTTGTTAGAATAGAGAGCTGTGGATATTGGATATGTATATTTGTTAGTGTGAATAAATGGTTCTCAGGAGTGATGGTATAGTATACGGAAAAAGAACAGGACTTTGGAGTCCAAAGTTCAAATCCCATCTCTACCATATGTGATTCTTGCTTATTCAGTAAGGCTCCCTTGGTTACTAACAGTATAAATGGATTCTGGTGAGCATAAGCCAAAAAGGGGGAATTTGTTAGAATGTGTTAGGGTTCTTCAGGGAAACAGAACTCATAGGATATACACATATATATACATACACACATATGTACGTATATATATATATATAAATAATATATATATGTATAGAGAGAGCAAGAGAGAGAGAGAGAGAGAGAGAGAGAGAGAGAGAGATTTACTATGAGGGATTGACTTAGACAATTATAAAGGCTGAGAAGTCCCATGATCTGCTATCTGTAAGTTGGAGGCCCAGGAAAGCCAGTAGTGCGCTTCCTGTTCAAACCCCAAAGCTGGAGAACTAGGGAGTGGGGTTAGGAGGTGGAGGGCATGGGTAGAATATAAGATCTGGTCTGAGTCAGGAAGGCCAAAAACCAGGAACACGGATGCCCAAGAGCAGGAAAACGTGGATGTCTTGGTTCAGACAGCCAGAAAATACACCCTTTTCTGCTATTTTATTCTATTTGGTCCCTCAGCAGATTTGACTGTGCCCACCTGCACTGGGGAGGGCCATCTTCCTTAGTCAGTCTACCAATTCAAATGCTAATCTCTTCTAGAAACACTCTCACAGACACACCCAGAAATAATGTTCTACCAGCTATTTCATAGTTCAGTCACGTCAACACATAGAACGAACCACTACAGAGTACATGGAAGAGTTGACAACCACAACTCAGCAGTAGGAATCAGTGGCCTTTTTTCCGGGGTGCTGCTGCTAACCTGTCTCAGCCTCAATGATTTCTTATCTTTGTGTCTCTCATTCTTTAGTTTTAAGTCTTACATCTTCATCTGTCTCAAGACTGTTTGATCCAGCTTGGATCAAGTATCAAATTCCTTGGTCAGGCTGGGCGCGGTGGCTCAGACCTTTAATCCCAACACTTTTGGAAGGCTGAAGTGAGTGGATCATCTGAGGTCAGGAGATCAAGACCAGCCTGGTCAACATGGTGAAACCCTGTCTCTACTAAAAATACAAAAATTAGCTGGGTGTGGTGGTGGCTGCCTGTAATCCCAGCTACTCGGAGGCTGAGGCAGGAGAATTTCTTGAAACTGGGAGGCGGAGGTTGCAGTGAGCCAAGATTGCACCACTGCACTCCAGCCTGAGCAATGAGAGCAAAACTCTGTCTCAAAAAAAAAAAAAAAAAAAAAATTCCTTGGTCAGCCAGCCAGCCAAGGCTACAGGGTATAGTTATACGGTACAGGCCAGGCTGCCAGAGGCACTGGAGGATGAGGTACACAGCGGGCAGGGAAGCCTCAGTTTTCTTACATATAAGGTAGGATAATCTGCTCCTTAAAGTCATTGTAAGGATTAATCAAAATAATGTCCAAAAGTGCCTAACACATAGTAAACATTAAGTTTATAGTTAAGTGTTAATTTTTTTTGTTTGTTTGAAAAGTATGTAACAGATTTATTATTATTTACAATCAAGTTCTGTTGGGCAACACAATGAAATAAATAAAAGATGTGCCCTGGCCTATGAATTTCAACTCTCCTTCAGTTCTCTGAAGGGCAAGCTGGAAAGCAGTGACCAGGCAGGGAAGGGAGGACAGATGGAGGCCAGGCCCATCGGTGGGAAGGCCGCTCTTCTCTGTCACCAGCTTTAGCACTCATATCCCCAAATGTCCAGAGAACAAGTAGGGAAGAAAACAAATAAAGTGCAAATTTAAAAGTGATAAAAACGGTGTTTCACACATCCAAGGAACCAAAGCTTTATACACAGGTAAAATGGTAAAGATAAACGGTTTTCCCTGGCCTTCATCACAATCCCTGAAACGGAAGGACAGCATTGCTGTGCTTCTGGGCCTGGGCTTCTTGCTCTAAAGCACCAAGGACATCGCACGCAGGCTTGACAGAGGGCTGTGGCCACAATCACAAGCTTCAGACAAATACGCTGGAGGTCTCGAATCCCTTGGCACCCCCAAGCATGTTGTGTGCACCCACATTCTGGGTGTCTGCAGATCGATACAGAACACATCCTTACCTCTGCAGCAAACCCATTTCCCTGGAAAAAATTTTCACACATTCTCTCCCACCTCAAAAAAAAATTATTTTTTAACCAAATGGAGATTTTTAAATATGTTGAATTTTATAGGGAAAAAAGGGCCAGAAAGCTCTGAAGAACAGTAAAGAGATTTGAGGAAATTTCAGCGGTAACGAGACATATTCATGCAGCCTACCACAGAGGGGGCTGTAGTCTCAGTTTCCATTAATCCAATGCTTAAACTGAGTTCACTGGACAAACGGCCCCAAGAGGGATGGGACACGTGTTAGGCTAGAACGACTTTGGAAGGATGAGAGAAACCAAAGAACACCACCTGGGTGTGGGGTTGTTTTTGGTGCTGCCGTTGGTGAGGAAACCCAGCGGGGCCCTGTACGCCCCCAAGTGAGGTATGGAAGATCAGAGCTAGTAGTGTTTCCCAAGGCAAGAACCTGAACCTCTGCTAAGTGATAGCGTCAGGTTTTTTCAGTGTTATTCTTCCAGGTCAAGAGAAACCTCAATCAAATCTTCAGAAATCTCATTCACAGCGGAGCTACTTGCCACATAGCTTGAGCTTCTCTGGGAGGTCCATGCTATACCTAGCACCTCACATGCCAGGACAGGGCTGTGGGAGCCCACACGCTTCTTTTGAGGAGGGCGCTGGGGTCCTCCCTGCCCTGAAAGCCCCGTCAATACTGTGCCCACAGCACAGCTTTGCATCCTTTGTCTGCACTGACGACGTGCGAGCCAGAGGGCGACCACGCCACTGCATTGATGGAGGAGCTTTGAAAGAACCTTTTCCACTTTCCCTGTGAGCACACTCCAAATATAGAGAGAGCCCTCAGCAAAGCCTGCTGCCACGTAACTGCCATCAGGTCTGAAGACAACTCTGGTCCAGTCAGAGTCGCACTTGAACCCAGGTGCACTGAATGTCTGCTTGACAGCATTTGTTCAGAGATCAATAACTTTTAGCAAGTCATCACGGGAGCAGCTCAGGAGCTCAGTCCTTTCTGGATTTAAGTCCAGGGCAGTAATCTTTCCCAACAACTCCATCTCTCGAACTGTACCCTCTGATCGAATGTCCCAGAAACAAATTTTCTTGTCAAATGTCCGCTCATCACACATTGCTCTGTGAAGACAATAGCATTGCAACTGGATCCTGCAAACACTGTCCTTATGCAGACTTTGCTGCGTAGATCCCAGAGTTTGAGAGTCCGGTCGTGACTTCCTGAGACAATTTGTGCATTGTCCAGCAGGAATTTAGCAGACAGCACTTTCCCACTGTGTCCCGTGAGTGTGTGCCGTAATCGATAATCATCCACAGTCCAGATTTGGCTTGCAAAATCATTTGAAGCTGCTAAGAGGTAAGATCCAGCGCTATCAAATTTGATGCTTGTAATTCCTGCATTACTGCCAGATAGAGAACCGTTGAATTCACTTTTTTCTCCAAATACTTCCCAAAGCTTAATCCTGAGGTCCATGCCTCCGGTGGCCAGTAACCGGGAACCTGGACTGAACTGTACAGCGTTGACCTCCCCATCGTGCGCATCAAAGACACATAAGGCAGTAGTTGGTACTCTCACTTCTTTACCAGAACCAGGATGAGTATCCACATTGTCCTGGGGGACTGGGAAGGAAGAGACAGAGCGTCTCGTGGCTGCTCTGCTGATGGCTTGCACAGGAGAGGTCTCTTCCGTGTGATCAGAGGTTTCATCCACAATGACCTCAATGTCATCATCCTGTTCGACTGGTAGAGGTTCCTTTGCTGCTTCAGCAAGCTCTTTCTGCAGCCGGGCTTGCTGCCTCCTGGAGTCTGCTTCATTCTCTGCATTGAGGCGATTGGCTTCCTGGGCTTTCTCAGCCATCCATCTGGTGACCAGCTCCTGGTTCTCTTCTGTAGTTTTCCTCAGTTTTTCCTACAAGGCAGTAAAAGTGATCTGCAGGGCCTCATATTCATCCTTCAGGGTTTGGTTGGCTATTTCAAGCTCCTGAAGCTTAGTGTGCAGATCTAGGCACTCTGTCTCCAGGTCAGAGATAGTCTGCAAACATTCTGCAATTCTCCCCACGTTTCTTGTGTAATTCAGTCAGTTCTTCTTGGTGCTTAATCCTCAGCTGGGCCATTTCGTGTAGCTGACTGTTATTCCATGTGCTGTCATGTCCGGGACTTATCTCATGCCTGTTTGGTACATCATGCTTTTCAGCTTGTAGCTTTTGGGCCAACACTGAATGAAGATCTGACTTTACCAGCAATTTGTTCTCTCTACACACTGGCCGTCCCTGAGGCCATCTGGGACCCGTGTTAATTTTTTTAAGTTTATTTTATATATTTTTAAAGAGTTGGGGTCTTGCTGTGTTGCCCAAGCTGCTCTCAAACTCCTGGACTCAAGCAGTCCTCCCACCTCAGCTTCCCAAAGTACTTGAAAAAACAGTTTTTAATACTGGTGAAGAACTGAATGAACTAGTAACAGCTTCAAAACACCATCATAATCTTAAAGAAAGGTTCTGGGCTCACCCAATACTTGTCTTGGAATCAGCTGTCTTTCCAAGGAACTCTCATTCCTTTTATGAAAAATGATATTCAAAAGCCAAAACCTGGTCCCTAGATGCTGCTGTTAGGATGTCTCTGTTTCAGGGGACAGAGCTGGGGAACACACATGTGCACACACACATTTATATCTACATTTTTTTCTATCTCACTGCATATGGAAAATTGTGAGTTCACTCCCATACCCCTGATTCCAATCCAACACCCCAGGTTTTATTCTAGTTTTCTCCTTTGTCATATTTGTTAGTTTCCTGATTTTAATGGCTGTGTTTTGGTTGTAAATGAGAATGTTCTTATTTGGAAGAAATACATACTAAAGTATTCACCCAATGAGGGGTATGAAGTCAGGAATGTACTCTCAAGTAATTCAGGAAAAAAAAAGTTATTTGAACCATACTTGCAACTTTTCTGTAAGTTTCAGATTTTTCAAAATAGAATTTATCAAAACCAAACGAAAATCCTAAAACAATTAACCTCATACATGTGTCACTTCTTACCTGGGCAGGTAAATTACTAGAGGAGAAATGCTGCCACAAAAGGCCTGTGCATTTGTAATTTTGTTTTGTTTCTGGAGATAGGGTCTGTCTCTGTTGCTTAGGCTGGAGAACAGTGGCACAATCATGGCTCACTTCTTCCTCAAACTCTCAAGGGATCATCTCTCCTCAGGCTCCCAGATAGCTGGGACCACTGGCTTGCACTGTCATGCTCAGCTAATTTTTAAATTTTTTTGTAGAGATGGGGGTGTCTCTCTGTGTTGCCCAGGCTGGTCTCAAACTCCTGGGCTTAAGCTATCCTCGGGCTTTGGCCTCCCAAAGTGCAGGGATTAGGTCAGGCAGGTGGTTTACACCTGTCATCTCAGCATTTAAGAGGCTGAGGTGGGCAGATCACTTGAAGCCAGGAGTTGGAGACCAGTCTGGCCAACAAGGTGAAACCCTGTTTGTATTAAAAATACAAACAAGCCAAGCACAGTGGCATGTGCCTGTAATTTCAGCAATTTCGGAGGCTGAGGCACGAAAATCACTTGAACCTGGCAAGTGAGGTTGCAGTGAGCCAAGATCTCGCCACTGCACTCCAATGTCTGTGACAAAGCAAGATTCCATCTCATAAAGAAAGAAAATAAAACACAAAGTATTGGGATTACAAGTGTGAGACATCTCACCTGGCCCATTTATAATTTGATGGATGTTGCCCAAACTGCCCTCTGCAGTGGTTTTACAATTTACGTAACCCCCCACCTGGAGTGAACAAGAAGCCTTACTCTCCCCAACACAACATTTTATAAGACTTCAGTTTTCTAAAAAAGCAATTCAATTGAAGACCAGCCTGGTCAACATGGTGAAACCCTGTCTCTACTAAAAATACAAAAATTAGCTGGGTGTGGTGGTGGCTGCCTGTAATCCCAGCTACTTAGAGTCTGAGGCAGGAGCATTTCTTGAACCCAGGAGGCGGAGGTTGCAGTGAGCCAAGATTGCACCCCTGCACTCCAGACTGAGCAACAAGAGCAAAGGGATCATTTCAGGGATAATTTCTACAGAAATTCTGGAAGAAACTAGAGAAGTTTCTCTGCGCAGGTAGAGCACCAGAGGCGTGTTCTCTCCTGAACGCGAGGCTGGTCTTGGTTTGCAACTGCCATTTGCCACCGATGGGCATTCGTTTCCCTCCATCAGGGTAAGATGGAGAGGACGCAGCCTGAGTGGTTTACCTTCTTTGAAAAAAAAATTAGTTGGTGAAAGCTGTTTTCTTGTGTAGTTTTAATTTGCATTTCTGTTAGTGTGAGTGAGTTTGATCATCCTTTCAGACTTAAAGCTGGTTGCATTTCTCTTTCCTTGAGTGTTTGGTGCACAATCTTTACCCATGTTTTCATTGGCTTATTTTTTTTTATTCTTATTATCATGATCACTGTTGATTTTGAACCTCTAAATGTGATGGTAATTAGCCCTATATGAGTTGTAAATATTTTTCTCAATTTCTCACTTGTCTATTGACTTTTGAAGACAGTTTTGTCATGCAGATAGTCTTTGTTATGTAATCACATGTACCACTGTTTTATAGCTTTCTAGGTTGTTGTACACCAACTAAGGATTATTAAAAATAATTTCCCTATGGATTCTAGTACATGCTTTAAAAATTTGTTTATACATTTAGATACTGGACACATTTGAAACTTATTCTAATCCAACTTCATTTATTTCCCAGAAGGCAATCCATATATTGAATCATTCCTCTTTCCTTCCTGGTTTGAAATGCTGCCTTTCCTGCACATTACATTCCTATAACTTCTGCATTTGGACCTATCTCTGGAATTTCTGTTCTGGTCCATGAGTCTCTCACTCTCTCTCCATTATGTCTCTGGCCACTCCTTCTCAGCCTCCTTTTCTGTCCCCTTCTGCCTTTCCCTCCCCTCCTCTTTGTCATGGCATCCCCTCCTGTTCTATCACGGTACATTTTCTTTCTCTGTCCCATGCTGATTTCATCTGGCTTCAGGGCTTCCACACCAGCGGTGTGCTGAAACTATGTGGCATTTCTATCTCTAGGCTGGCACCCTCTCCTGAATTCCAGACTCATGTAGCTACTGTCCTCTCAGGGGCTCCATTTGGGAGCTTAATCTGCATTTTGAAAATAACACTTCCTAACCCAAATTTCTGCTGCTCCCTAGAACCTGCTGCTCTTATAACATTCTCAGGAAATAGTAGCTCCATTCTCACTCCATTCTCTCTATAGCTAGAGTCAAAACTCCACGTCTTCGATGACTCCTCTCTTTTTTATTTTTTATTTTTTGAAATGGAGTTTTGCTCTTGTTTCCCAGGCTGGAGTGCAATGGCACAGTCTCAGCTCACTGCAATCTCTGCCTCCCAGGTTCAAGTGATTCTCCTGCCTTAGCCTCCCAAGTAGCTGAGATTAAAGGTACCCACCACCACGCCCAGCTAATTTTTGTATTTTTAGTAAAGACAGGGTTTCACCATGTTGGCCAGGCTGGTCTCGAACCCCTGACCTCTGGTCATCTGCCAGTCTCAGCCTCCCAAAGTGCTGGGACTACAGGCGTGAGCCACCACACTCAGACAACTCCTCTCTTCTTTAAGACATTCACGCCTATCAAGTCCTGTCAGCTCTGTTCTCAAACAGATCCAGAGTTGAACCAGCTCCCCGTCCCATCATCTGTCTCTCCCCTGGGCTATGGAAATAGCTTCTTAGCCCATATTTCTATGGCATCCCTGATTTCACCCCCTGACCCCAGGTCCATTCTCCCCTCATCAGCCAGAGCGATCCTTTAAAAATGTAAGTCTGATTATGTCCTCCCTGCAGTGGTTCCCAAAGTCCCATAAAAGCCCCTAAAGCCTACCTGACATAGCCCCCAGCTAACTCTTGGATCTTTATCCTCTTCCATGAATCCACTCTTGCTGGACACTCTGGTCTTCCTTCTGTTCCTTGAACACACAACAGGACTCCGGTCTCTGCCAACGCACCTTCTTTGAATAGCTGTATATAAACCTATAGACTTAAACTTCCGTAAGACTTACATAAACTTTAGACTTGTGTAGATATAGAAGTTGATCATATATGACACTTGGACATACATTTAAACATGTAAGCAAAATGAAGCTGGGCACGGTGACTCACATCTGTAATCCCAGCTGTAATCTACTGAAAATACAAAAATTAGCCCAGCCTGGTGGCGCACACCTGCAATCCCAGCTGAGGTTGAGGCCCAAGGAGGCTGAGGCACGAGGATCGCTTGAGTCTGGGAGGCGGAGGTTGCAGGGAGCTGAGATTGCACCACTGCACTCCAGCCTGAGTGACAGAGCAAGATTCTTCTGCTAAAAACAAAAAACAAAAACCTAAAAATATAAGCCAAATGAATTGGCTACAGTAGTCCTAAAATTTCTTCATATTCAGAGCTATCTGTTCTGAATCTTATTTTGATTCTAACCATGGATGTTCTTGTTTTTTCAAACAACACTGTTCTCCGTGCCTTCAAGAGTGCTAGTTTGATGGCACAGCATTTTTTGAAAGAATGCCCTACTATTTTCTCCAGGGTTTCTTTTTTCCTTTTTTAATTTACTTATTATACTTGAAGTTCTGTGGTGCATGTGCAGGTTTGTTACATAGGTATACATGTGACATGGTGGTGTTTTGTTGCATCCATTGCCCCGTCATCTGCATTAGGTATTTCTCCTAATGCTTTCCCTCCCCAATCCCCCTACCCCCTGCTATTCCTCTCCTAGGCCCCCACCCACCAGGCCCCCATGTGTGATGTTCCCTTCCCTGTGTCCATGTGTCTCATTGTTCAATACCCACTTATGAGTGAGAACATGTGATGTTTGGTTTTCTGTTCTTATGTCAGTTTGCTGAGAATGATGGTTTCCAGCTTCATCCATGTCCCTGCAAAAGACATGAACTCATCCTTTTTATGGCTACATAGTATTCCATGGTGTATATGTGCCACATTTTCTTTATCCAGTCTATCATCATTAATGGGCATTTGGGTTGATTCCAAATCTTTGCTATTGTAAACAGTGCCACAATGAACATACATGTGCATGTGTCTTTATAATAGAATGATTTATATTCCTTTGGGTATATACTCAGTAATGGGATTGCTGGGTCAAATTGTATTTCTAGTTCTAGATCCTTGAGGAATTGCCACACCATCTGCCACAATGGCTGAATTAATCTATACTCCCACCAACACTGTAAAAGTGTTCCT